ACACACGCACACAAACACACACACGTACACACGTGCACACACAAGTAGGCTTACAATCACATGCATAATATAAATGAGCAGCAATATAAACAATAATAATCGTAAGCTAGATACACACTCAATGTTATTTTGATGCATGCTCTAAGGTCGTAATAAGTCACTTACAAAAGTTAGAGTGTGCAACAAAGAAGTTTCTTCAACTTAAATTTTTTTTTTTTTTTTTACGCCCCCATCGACAAAATTTAGATCAATGAGTCGGGTTCTGGCATGCAAGGGCCAACCTGGGCTAAGAGGGACACAACATCCCAGTAGACAGACCCGGGCTGAGAAGGATACAACATCCCAGTAGACAGACCCGGGCTGAGAAGGATACAACATCCCAGTAGACAGACCCGGGCTGAGAAGGATACAACATCCCAGCAGACAGACCCGGGATGAAAGGGATACAACATCCCAGAAGAATAACAGATATAGATCTACTCTATAAAGAATCCACCTCCACTCTGGAATCGAACTCGAGTGCCCTGTGTGCAGTAGCAAAGCTCCTAATCGCCCACTAGAGACGCCGGTGTGCACCTAGATCTAGCTGCATCATTGTAACAAAGAGGGAAAAAGTCGATTTACGTCACTCGCTGTCATATAGCCAAGAGTCATCTCCCATCCCCTCACTAAACTTAATCCATCCCCTGATACTTAACTGTAAAACTTCCTTGCACGTAGCCTAACTATCCCACATCCTCAGTCCAACACTACAGGCACTAAAGGGCACGTAACTCGATTCACTCTCAAGGCCAATTGCAGACCAAGAAACAAGTGGGAAACTAAGTAGGTCTAGCCTAAGAAATTGAATAATTGGGAAATAGACACCTACACCAGAAACGAATAATGAATCGCTTTGGCAAAATGAAACGGTGACCTAGATCTAGTTTTTGGCGTGTATTCGGTTGTTCGAATAAATTGTTTGAGTTTCTGCCCAGGTCTAATCGATACTTCAATTCCTAATTCCAGTACTCGAGATGCTCAGGGCTCAGTCATCTCTGTAGTCTGTATCGTTAGTCACTATACTACCCTTTGTAAACATGTTTTTATGATGTTTCCGTTTAGATCTAGTCTTCTGGATTGCATTGTTTCGGATAGAATCCAGTGGAATGTCGGCCTCCTGAATTCCAAAGTGTAAAAATCTTGCAAGATGTCCACCAAGTTTCGGAATATTCTTATTGGTTTAACATTGATGGTGCTTGTTTTTTGTCTTCTTTCCGTTTATACGTGCTCCGGTTCATCATGTTTTGGAATGACGAGCCCGACCGCTGCTCCCTTCAAAAACGATTTTGATGCTTATTTACAAGGGAAACTTCTGAAGCACAGTTTTAGTCAAAGTTCTTTAGATAGGTCTCGACATGTTAATCTTGAAGCTGACGACGTGTTAGTTTATTTACACATTCAGAAGACAGGGGGAGCGACATTCGGTCGACACCTCGTTCATAATCTTGATGTCCAACCCCCTTGTGAATGTGAACCTGGTGTGAAAAAGTGCGAATGTTTCACCAGAAATAACAGGGTTTGGCTCTTCAGCCGCCACTCGACGGGATGGATGTGTGGCGTTCACGCTGACTGGACCGAACTTCATGACTGTGTTGACGAATGGTTTCAAGAGAATGATGTCAAGTCCAGAAAGAACAGAAGGTCAGTAGAGATCTAAGTAAATAAATAATGAAGTGACTATTCGGACTCGAGTCCGAATATGAAAAAATGTTATTCGGACTTTGATTCTTGTCCAGCATGACATCACTTCCGACTTCCTGTGACTCGTGACTCTGGCTTCCTGTCCTGCCTCATCGTGACTCGCCTCAGGCTGGGTAGATCTAGAGACCGGGATCACTTTGGGCAAAATGGCGTTTTGTGCAGGAGCCGAGTTTTTATCTTATGATGAATTTGAGGCGGGCCTGAAAAGTCATAGCGCTTATTTATAAATGTTTATTTGTCAAGAGCTAATCAGAAGCAAAATTAAAGATGGCTGGTTAGCGTGTGACGGGGTCGGATGGGCGGCCTTCACACGTGTGGCTGTGTGTGCGTGTCAGGGAGGGGGGGGGGGCACTATCGGTCTGGGCGTTGAACGTCGCATACGCGTCAGTCTTTTTTCTCCCGCCAACTGATCATTAATAAACTAGTCTTAACGTAGATCTACGTAATGAATTGTGCGCTGGTCTGTGGAATCAAAAGTTGGCGTGCGCAACACAACTTTTTCTTGGTAAACAATCGAGATGACACAGGCGGCATGTGTATTTGAACGAATCGATCTTTTTTTTTTACACAGCTCATAATATGCAGGTGCCAGGTGGTCTGCTAATCTTTAATTTTACCTTTTTTTACAACAAAGAAAGTGGGAAACATGCGGGGGGCATCGGATCGGCAGATAAGGTGTTGGGGGAACTAAAAAATGGCGGAAAATTGGAAGCACTGAAGTTTAGATTTTTATAGAACGAAGACACACCTTTTTTCCGGACCCGAGTCCGAATAACATTTTTTCATATTCGGACTTGAGTCCGAATATGAATTTATTTTTTTTTGACTCGAGTCCGAATATGAAAAAATTTTATTCGGACTAAGACGGCCAATAAATAAAGTGTAGTTAGTATAAAAAAATAATATTATAGGGAAGGACTTCAAGGAATTCACAGAGGGCCGGCCGACCAACAACACACAAAGGAGGAGATATTTTGAACAGGGTCTTAATACTAACCCTAGCCCTAAACCCTAATATGGGGTGCCCACTACGGCTGGATCGGGCCGATCGCCTGAAAATGAAAACAAAGATGTTTGTGTTTGAGGCGATCACCCGATCGGCTGATCCCATCCATAGTGGGCACCCCGTATAACCCTAACCCTAACCCCTTTGAACCCTCAACAACTTTCAACAAGCCATAGAGGCCTGTCTTTTTAGACTTTTTATCAACTGCCACCGAGTGACGCGGTGACAATTGACGTGCCACCGAGTAAATAGAGTTCTTTTGTGTTTGTGAGTAGATCTAGCCTGTATATATGTGCTCAGTTTTCTGCGTTTGTGAACTTCCGACGCACGCCTCTCTCTTTGCCTCTCTGTGTGTGGGGGCAGGGGTCTCTCTCTCTCTCTCTCTCTTTCTCTAACCCCTGTCCCCCCGATTTATGTGTGTGGGGGCAGGGGTCTCTCTCTCTCTCTCTCTCTCTAACCCCTGTCCCCCCGATTTATGTTCCTTAATAAGTAGCTTATTTTCGCTTGAGTTTAGTGTGCGTTTGTGGGCTACTTCTAGAATCGCCTGCTGTGTTGGTTCTACACCGAAGCATAGAGGCTAGCCTACGTCTTTCCTTCAAAATATGCCAAGTTGAAGTTGGTCTCTAGATGTTCGTCCAGTGAAATTAGAAAACAAATTGACCCACTGAGACATGAGGAGCTCGAAAGGATTGCCAGGAAACAAGACTTTCATTTTTATTGTGAAACAAAATCTTTCAAATGCGCTTCAATTTATGAAATTTAATGACATAAAATTTATCCCTGATAAAACATAAGTTTATAGATCATTAACATGTAGTTTTGAATACCGTTGTGCAGGTAAAAAGAAGAATTTGAGTGCAAAACATTCGGAAATTGACCTCTATACTATTTTCCTTTCGAACCCAGTGTGTGTAAGCACTTTGACTTCAACTTATGATAGGGGGTAAGATCTAAATTCCATGCGTTCGTAACACATTATGAATCGAAAGCTTTAAATAAAGCATTGTTTTTAGACTTGACACTGCGTCACTCGGTGGCAATGGACACTACCGCGTCAATAAAGTCAATTGCCATCGCGTCACTCCTTTTTTTTTTTTTTAAGTTGTCATTTCTCTGAACGTTCGGGTAAAGTTGAACTCATTTCTCCGACCGGTGTCCATTCTCGAGATTTTTTGTTATAATGCGAGATTTAGGCATCATCCTTTCATTCTGCTGTTCTGCGAGGACTGGGAAGAACAAGCATTTTTTGCTTCGAATTCAATTTCTAAAGCTATTGTTTTTTAAATATTCAGACTACTTCAGTTGTGGTTGGGGCAACGTTCCCGATACTCCATTTGAAAATACCTTCAAAAGGTACTGCGAGAAAACAAGACTGCTTGACCTTGGCAGTAACCTATTTTGCATTTAGTCGCCCACAAAAATGAAAATCCTTATATATATATATATATTTATAATATATGTAACCCCCCCCCCCCCCCCCCCCCCCCGGTCGCTCCTTAAAAAAAGCCCACAGGCCACCGGCCACACACACACACATGCACACTCCAAGAAAAAAAAACAGACAAAACCAAAACGGGGCCGCCACTTTCGTTTGTTCTAAAATTCCCGCGAGAACTGAAACTGTTAGGAGAAATAGAGTTCAAGTTTATTTTCCTGAACGTTCGGAGAAATAGAGCGGGCCTTTTTTTTTACTCATGCACCCGTCTCATGTACACATTTTATGTATATATATACTTTTTTTTCGAGTAGTATTTTGCATGCTGAGTACAAATTCATTTTTGCGGCAAATAGTTATTGATGTTTGAAAATAGTAATATTTGACTTGATTTTAACAACATGGGGCATGGGGGGAGGAGTTTCAGGGGGGCCTAAAAAGAATCTGGGGGCATGTGCCCCTGCCTTTCACAATGATTTGATGTTCTGACAATTAGGATATATATTTACTTGTAAACATTTGATTTGCAAGTGTTATTGGTGGCCATACGTGTGTTCTACAGCGAACGTTATGGCAGTTTAGCCCTCAAATCAATGCATTTGTGTGTGTTGGTACAGTGAAAATTTACCAACTGTAGACTAACTTTCAAGTTCGTTTGACCGTGGTGAAAACAAGATAAAATGAAATCGCTCTGTTCAATCTTCTCAGATCTTTACATATGGGTGTGTAAAAGTTGGATGACCAACAGAATCTAAAGCCAAAGCCCATTCTCAAAAGTCACTGCAAAAGAAGTTTGTAAATTTTTACTTTCTCTCCAGCACACAGATGCGCTGATTTGGGGGTCAGACTGCAGTATTTTTTGCTGCAGATCACACATTTAGCCACTAAAACTGTTGCAAATAAATTATTTTCAAGAAAATTTTACTGCAAAACATCAAGTTATGGGTGAAAACCCTGTAACCCCTCAGATTTTTAATTCCCCACCCCCTCCGAGATTGGTGTAAAGCCCGGAAATTACTACACAAGAAGGCTTAAAGAGTTAAGTGTGATAAAGTTCAATTAAAAACCTTCAAATATTTAAAAAACTATTAATTTTCTACAGAAAGAAATATAAGGTCAATGTCTGTGTTTGGCGAATCATAGTAGAAAATGGACATAGCTCTAGGCGTGAGATGAGATGGAAAGTAAAAGAATACCCAGCTATAATATATTATAGGGCCCAAAGAGAAAAACTTTTATTGCTGGATCAAGATTTAAAAAAAAAAAAATTTTTGTTTGGTCGCTGGCCTGCTGAAATGCGTTGCAAAATTTTGTTGGCTTAGGAAAATACCTAAATGAGCTAGAGGAAAGTGAAAACACTATTTCACCCTTTATCCATCAATGGTAGGGCAGTGTCAAACCTGTCAATTAGATTTGAGTAGGATCCCTCACAAAATGGAAGCCTCTTGGCCACCTCTGGCCTTGAGATCATCGGGCTGACGTCTGGCAAAGCCACATGATACTGCTCGCAGGCCAGGGTCAGAAGGTCGCTTGGGAGAGAGATTATCCCACCGCCGAGTGGGTGGCGTGTGCGCTCGAAACAAACTTACGTAGTTTAATACGGAATGCAACGTACATAGATCGTATCATGGTGGATGGCAACGTAATATAGCGAAAATACTATGATAATATAATATAAGCTTTCCTTTTCATAACATAGGCAAAACCTGGCGGTGAACGGGGCTATAGCGAGATTTGACTTAACAGTTTCACGTTGACACAAAACTGAAGTTTAATTTAGATAAATTGGACACAGAATGCCCATCTTTTGTGAAGATTTACGTGTCTACACATGATTCATCTTGAGATTTGTCTGTTCCAGGTACCACTATATCACATTTCTGCGTGATCCACTCCCACGGTTTTTGAGCGAGTGGCAACATGTTAGACGCGGCGCCACATGGAAAGCGGCTCGCTTACATTGCAATGGGCACGAGGCCACGCTAGAGGAAGTGCCCTTCTGTTATACAGGGGAGGACTGGACCGATGTGACTTTTGAGGAATTCATTTCTTGCAAGTACGTCAACATATTAACATAGACGGATTAAATTAAACATTTTCGTGGGGGTGAGGGGGGCTGAATCATTTAGTTAATTACGGTTGTACTTTTACAAGGTAGCAGCCTTTCCTCCGCGACTGTTTTGTCATACCATGTCTTTTTGGGTGTGTTAGGGTTAATGGTCATGTCTTGTTGGCTGTGTAAGGGTTAATGATCATGTCGTTCATTATTTGTGAAGTTTGCTGACTAAATGAGTTAATTCTCGGATTAGGGCCCTATGGAAATAGATCATGCTTATAGGTGAAGTTTTTATAATTTGTAAGTGTGAAATAATAAAAGGCATTTACTACTTAATGAATATTGCATCAATAGCAAACCTTAACCTAGAAATTTGACCCAAGTGTCGATTTTTGGTCAATATCTCCATTTTTGAACTGTGAGAAGTAACTCATTTTGTCAGCACACCTCACATTTTGTCTTTGATACAGCGAAGAAAGGAATTTGCTGTTGTCGCGTGTGGCATTTGTGTGTGTGTGTGTGTCTGTCTGTCTGTCCGCCCTTCACTTACAAGACAAGCACTATTTTCTGACTATGTGTGTGTGTGTGTGTATGTGTGTGTGTTTGTCCTATTTATAAGTAAGACCAGCACTAACTTAACTATGACTAGACTCTGACTCTCTGTGTGTGTGTGTGTGTGTGTGTGTGTGTGTGTGTGTGTGTGTGTGTGTGTGTGTGTGTGTGTGTGTGTGTGTGTGTGTGTGTGTGTGTCCTCTTCACTTACAAGACCAGCACTAACTTAACCATGTGTGTGTGTGTGTGTATGTGTGTGTATGTGTGTGTGTTTGTCCTATAAGTAAGACCAGCACTAATTTAACTATAACTATACTCTGACACTGCGTTTATGTATGTGTGTGTGTGTGTGTGTGTGTGTGTGTGTGTGTGTACTGACTTTACTCATGCTTTGACTGTGTATGTGTGTGTGAATGTCCTATAACTATACTCTGACTGTGTTTTCCAGGCACAACTTGGCCTTTAACCGCATGACCCGGATGTTGGCCAACCTCACCAAGGTCAACTGCTACGACTGGTCAAGCCTGGAGCCAGCGTTTGTCAACTCCACCCTGCTAGCCAGCGCCAAAGAGAACCTTCTCGAGTTTGCCTTCTTCGGGATCGTGGAGGAGCAGAGGAAGACACAGTTCCTGTTTGAGCGCACGTTTGGCCTGCGGTTCATCGAGAACTTTGAGCAGCGAGAAAACACCCACGTCAGCCGCATCGACATCACGGGAGAGATGCAGCAGCGTGTGATTCACGCCAACGGTCTAGACGTGCAGTTGTATCAATACGCCAAAGATATGTTCCTTCAGCGAGTCCGAGCGATGGAGAAGAAGCTCAACTACACCGTGGAAGAGTATTTCGAGTCGATACGAGATGGAGCTGTTGAGGAGGAGGAGGAAGAGACAGTTGATGAAGGGAGGATGTTTGAGGATCCACTCGATGACGAAGCGGAAGAGGCAGGAGGAGAGTTTTCCCCACCACGGAGGAGTGGTCCTGTGAGGTCGAGCAGACGCGGTGAGTCTCCCAACCTCAGGCCAATGAGAACATTGCAGCGACGACAACATGTGGAGGGGAGGGAGGGGAGTTGATGGTTCCTTGTCCATGTTGTTACAAATGTGTCACGCCGCGCTGGATTCAGGCGCTCGTCAATTTTTGGACATATGAAGTTATCGGTGTCATCTTAAAGCTTGTTTACCTGTCTTGCAATTGGTGGAAAAACTACCCATCTATCTTGAATCGAAGCCAAGATGTTTGCCATGGAAGGAGGTGGGGGTAGCCTGGTATCAGAGGTAAAATTAGCAAGAAAGTGGCCGCCAAAGTTTTGTGATTTCCAAAACTTGAGTGTCCTTGGAAATTGCTAATTAAAATTTTCTCTGCCTTTGACCAATGTTTTACAGTACAATCCATGCAGAAATGTGGTTTTAAATGGATGTAGAAGGTATAGAGCCAAAAAAAGAAAATTATAAAAAAATTGCCCCAGAAAAATGCCGCTTTCCCTGATTTCTTTATATTGACGAGTGCCTGATTGCACGCTGCCTCACAAATGTTCTGTCTGTTACGCAAAAATGTCAAAGATGTCGCTACTCCACGGAAGTGTCTTCATATCCTGTGGGGCTTCCGTGGAAACGTGTTTCTGAAATCTATCGGTGACAGCTGGTGTTGTTGATGCTGTTACACGATTTGTCACTCTGCTGGGCCCCTGTGTTATGTGGGGCGGAGAGGACTGGACGTACGGAGAACTTGTGCCATTCTGTACAGGACAAATGTGTGTGTGATGACGCTGCATGTCTGTCAATGTTTCCGATGTCGTAGTGTGCTTGGTGACGACCCCCGACTTCTTCCATGACCACTCACTTACTCTTTTCTGCTTGCAATAATATGAATTTCACGTTTACTGCCATACAAGGTGGAAAGATCTAAGAATCTTAGTACAACTAATTGCTTGCCGGTAGATATGAGGTAATATATTCATGATTTTGCCAGTAGACATGAGATAATATATTCATGATTTTGCCAGTAGACATGAGATAATATATTCATGATTTTGCCAGTAGACATGAGGTAAAATTGTTGTTGTAAGGTCACTATTCTGTCCCCACTGACGATTTGACCTATTTTACAAGGTCACAGTTCAGAATGGTTTTGTAACCTCTGACCCTTTCACTTTTTTTTCCTTTGTGGAAGTTTCCATATAATATGACCTCTGCTTGTCTGCTATGACCTATGACCTCTGCTTGTCTGCTATGACCTATGACCTCTGCTTGTCTGCTATGACCTATGACCTCTGCTTGTCTGCTATGACCTATGACCTCTGCTTGTCTGCTGTAACCTCAAGCCAGTGCTGATAGCTGTTGACAAATTCCTTTGGCTTTGAGATCAGGTGCTGACTGGATACGTTTAAAAAAAAAAATCTGGACAAAGCTCCCACTTATCTTAGGGATCTCATCCGAATTAAAGTTTTCTCTGTAGTCCATTCACCTAATGTGGAACACTTTGGAAGCAAGATTTCTCATCAACCATTTGTTTGATGGTAACCAAAGTAGAGTGATGTTTTTAGTGTATTTATGCACCCGGGACGTTATTAAAAAATGCAGCTTAAGTCTTTAATAACCAACAGTGGCGGTGGCTAGATCAAATTTTCGGTGGAGCTTAGACTGCCGACACTTCGACTTTACCACCAAATTTGCAAGCAATAAGCCCTAAACAGTACCGATTTTTCTTTACTCTCGGTGAGCCACGGTATTTTGAGAACCATTCAAACGAGAAGAGTCACCTTGTCGCCTTTGTCTTCCATCTCTTTGTTTTTAGTTAGATTCTTCTGGATGGAAAAGTTACCTTAAAAGTCGATCGACATGATTTATAACTGTTAAACCTCAGCAACACAAACACAAACATACACACACTGCACTTCAAACATAGCCTGTCTATGAGCTGGACTAGGCTTGTAGTCGCGGAAAGTAGAACGCACCTAACAATTAATGTCCAATCAGCGTGTAGGTATCTGTGTCAGTGGGGGGAAAATGTGTCGTAAACTTTCACTCCATTGTCAGGGCTAGGAGAGCTTGAGCCCATGGTACAGTGTTATTTTTGGCAGTCCTCTACCTTTTTTCAAGAAGCGTTTCATTACGGAAGGGGCGTGTGAATGGGCTCATTCTGTGCTGAGCCCTAAAGACATTTGATTGGCTGTTAGGATACTATACTTGTAAGCAGTGACAATAGTGATTGGATAAACGAGCAAGCTGCCAAGTTGATCAATCTGTGTTCATTGCGTGCGGCCATAACGGTTTCAACTGTTTATTTCATTATTTAGGAAACTTTCATTTACTTTGGGATGGAGTTGGGAGGGGGGGGCTCAACCTGTGAGCCCTTCACTACCCACCGCCTCTGATAATAAATCAATTAATGTCTGGTTGAAGAATGACTTTCTTATTACTACAGCTCCTTGAGTGTTGACAACGCCGACATATCTATAGGCTAGATGTATCTTTGTAGGCTACAGGGCCCTATGTATCATTGTAGGGTACAGTATGCCGTTTCCTAGGACAGTACAGCTTTAGAGTCGTTAAACTTTGGAGGCCATTTTCAATTTTCTCACTAATTTTAGTTGAGCAGACACCAGGCAACCCCTACCTCCTATGTCTGCAAATATCTCTATGTTCGTTCGGAAGAGATGGACACCCTTTTTCATGAAGAGCATGGCAAAAGAACAGGTGTTTTTGACTCTAGCATAACTCCGTGTGGCCTGTGATGAACGCCTGACGGAGACCAGACGTTCAGGAGTTCCTTCATCAACTACATATGTGTCATCATATATGTCATCATATATGTGTCATCTCAGTGATGATCATCATCTCAAGAGCTCCCGGGGAAGGAGGGGGGGGAAAAATTATCTGAAAGATCCTTTGTCCACCTTGGCCCATCTGTTTTAACCACCCCCCCCCCCCCTAAACCCAGAAGCATAGAGATATACATATATATGTATACATGTACATAGGGAAGTGGGGGGGGGGGGGTCACTTGTGGAAACAGGCAAAGAATTTCTAACTGACTAGCTTCATGTTCACAATATGCATCGATCTCTATACATACTTTTGTTACAGGTGGCATTTTGTACAGTCTTTACATTTTGTATATATATTATATATATATTATATATTGTATATGACACTATGCATTTGAATATGCTCCCTCAGATTTGATGTATATAATGCTTGCATGAGTGATGAGAAAGTGTGTGTGGGGTGGGAGTGGATTTGTTCTGTGTGTTTATTTGAGCAAAGATTAATTTTTCACAGGTACAGTATTGTTCATGTATACATTTGTTCTTGCATTTAAATTTCTGTAACTGTGAAGTAGCTGAAGCTATGCGCTCTCTGGAGTAGACGCTGTACAAACACTCTACATGTACGTTGTTGTGGTTGTTGTTTATGGTTCTGTCTACTGGTCTTGCCTTGTCCTTGCATTTTTTTTCTCAGTTTTCCAAGCTGACTTTGTGCTGTTGAGGATAGAGAGGTGAGCAAAGTAAGCCTGATTCCCCATTTGGACTTCTCTGTTGACATCCACCCCTTGGCGCGCATATGACCTTATGCAGTTGAGAGCGCTGTAAAAACTCTACTAATTTAGTTAATAGTAATACTAAAAAAACCCACCAGATCTGTTCACTGTGAAGTATGTCTGCACGTATGCCCTGTGTTCTGATCACATGTGTCAGTTTGTTTTTGTGTGTATGTTATATGTGTTCTGATCACACGTGTGTGTTGTTGTGTGTTTTGATGTGTTCTGATCACTTGTGTGTCAGTTTGTTGTTGTGTGTTATGTTATATGTGTTCTGATCACACGTGTGTGTTGTTGTGTGTTATATACATGCATGTATATGTGTTCTGATCACATGTGTGTGTTGTTGTGTGTTCTGATCACACGTGTGTGTTGTTGTGTGTTTTGATGTGTTCTGATTACTGATGTGTGTTGTTGTGTGTTATGTTATATGTGTTCTGATCACTTGTGTGTCAGTTTGTTGTTGTGTGTTATGTTATATGTGTTCTGATCACGGGTGTGTGTTGTTGTGTGTTCTGATCACACGTGTGTGTTGTTGTTTGTTATGTTATATGTGTTCTGATCACATGTGTTGTTGTGTGTTATGTTATATGTGTTCTGATCACGTGTGTTGTTGTGTGTTATGTTAAATATATATGTGTTCTGATCACACGTGCGTGTTGTTGTGTGTTGTTATGTTATGTGTACTGGTCCTGAACCCAATATAATGATTCTTGTTGAAAGACTGTTCTAATAATAGTCCCTGTTCAATGCTATTTATAATGCCTTGCATTAACAACCTTGACTCTACTTTTGCTACTTTTGAATTCTTTTCATTTTTGTATTTCTAGTTTCATTTTATGAGGAACTACATGTAATTGAATTTTATATGTATTTATATTGAAGCAGTATTGTATTTGTCGTTTGTGTGTGTGTTGTGTTTTTGTGAGTCTGTTGTTTGTGCGTGTGTGTGTTGTGTGTCTGTGTGTCTATTGTTTGTGTGTGTGTTGTGTGTTTGTGAGTCTGTTGTTTGTGTGTATCTCTGTGAGTCTGTCGTTTGTGTGTGTGTTGTGTGTCTGTGTGTCTGCCGTTTGTGTGTGTGTTGTGTGTCTGTGAGTCTGTCGTTTGTGTGTGTGTTGTGTGTCTGTGTGTGTTTTGTGTGTCTGTGAGTCTGTTGTGTGTCTATGTGTCTGTCGTTTGTGTGTGTGTTGTGTGTTTGTGAGTCTGTCATTTGTGTGTGTGCTGTGTGTCTGTGAGTCTGTCATTTGTGTACGTGTTGTTTTTACGTCTGTGAGTCTGTCGTTTGTGTGTGTGTGTTGTGTGTCTGTCGTTTGTGTGTCTGTTGTTTGTGTGTGTATTGTGTGTCTGTCGTTTGTGTGTGTGTTTGTGTGTCTGTGAGTGTGTCATTTGTGTGTGTGTTGTGAGTCTGTGTGTCTGTTGTTTGTGCGTTTGTTGTGTGTTGTGTATCTGTGTGTCTGTCATTTGTGCGTGTGTTGTGGGTCTGTCGTTTGTGTGATGTTGTGTGTTAATGGATCTGTCTTTTGTGTGTGTGTTTGTGTGTTTGTGAGTCTGTCATTGGTGTGTGTGTTGTGTGTCTGTGAGTCTGTCGTTTGTGGGTGTGTTGTGTGTCTGTGTGTCTGTCGTTTGTGTTTGTGTTGTGTGTCTGTCGTTTGTGCGTTGTCTGTGTGTCTGTCATTTGTGTGTGTGTGTTGTGTGTTTGTGAGTCTGTCGTTTGTGCGTGTGTTGTGTGTCTGTGAGTCTGTCATTTGTGTGTGTGTTGTGTGTCTGTTAGTCTGTTGTTTGTGCGTGTGTTGTGTGTCTGTGAGACTGTCGTTTGTATGTGTGTGTTGTGAGTCTGTCGTTTGTGTGTGTGTTGTGTGTCTGTCGTTTGTGTGTGTGAGAAAGTGGAGAGTCTGTCGTTTCATGCTTACGTCATGTTTGAGTTTGTCTTTACATCCACAGCTTTTGGGGACATGATTTCCTTCTGTGGTCTGTTTTGTTGACTTCATTTTGTTTTGTTTGTAGACATTGTTTGGCTTGTTTCTGCTTTGGCTTGACCTCCTTGTGATAGTTACGCTGTGTATCCGATGAATTGCCGGCTGCTTCCTCTACTGTCTGCTCTCAACCAATAAAATAACGCCACGACTCACGGCACTTCCACTGTCACTCTGCGTCTCTCGTCGGTTTGTTTGACGATTTCACGTGTGCTTGAATAATATAAGATCTACCACTGAGAGTAACTCTGAGAGTACCACTGAGAGTAAGATCTACCACTGAGAGTACCACTGAGAGTAAGATCTTCCACTGAGAGTAAGATCTTCCAATGAGAGTACCACTGAGAGTAAGATCTACCACTGAGAGTAAGATCTTCCACTGAGAGTAACACTGAGAGTAGCACTGAGAGTAGCACTGAGAGTAAGATCTACCACTGAGAGTAAGATCTACCACTGAGAGTAACTCTGAGAGTACCACTGAGAGTAAGATCTACCACTGAGAGTAGCACTGAGAACAACTCTGATCCACTGATGTGACCTAACACTGACCCACTGATGTGACCTAACACTGACCCACTGACATGTGACCTAACACTGACCCACTGACATGTGACCTAACACTGACCCACTGATGTGACCTAACACTGACCCACTGACATGTGACCTAACACTGATCCACTGATGTGACCTAACACTGATCCACTGACATGTGACCTAACACTGATCCACTGACATGTGACCTAACACTGATCCACTGACATGTGACCTAACACCTGTCCCCGTAGAATTATGCAAATGTAGATTGCCAAATTTTGCATGAAAAAAGCAAAATGATGCAAAAATTATGCAAGTCACTGTAACACCATTCGCGACATCTTTTTCTCTTTTTTTTTTCAACAAGAATTTTCATGTTTTGTGTACAGAAAACTTGAAAACAGAACATATCAGTATCAGTAATTTGTTGTGTATTTGGAAAGAAAACAATACGCACCTGTCAGAAAAAAAAACCAAACCCCAAAAATGATAATAATTTTTTTATAATTTCTGTAACTTTCAGCTGTAGATCTATATCTATAGATCTAGAGGTAAGAAAAATGTAAAAAAAACAACAAAAAACATAAACAATTTGGACCTCTGATGCTGGCACATCACTAAAGCCAGACACACCTGTCAATAGTGCTGGGCGGCTTGGTTCCCGTTTATTGAAAGTTAGGAATCGTAGGAATCGACTCCGAACCCAATTACTTGAATTACTTACTCTCTAATCATGTGATTTCTTCCAGTAGGAAAACCTTGATTTCTTAACATGTTCAAGATTTAGGAAAACCTTGATTTCTAAACACGACAAAGCATCAACTTTTATTTTTCAAATATAAATTCTTTAAGAAAAAACGATTTTAGTGATTAAAGTAACTTCTTCCATAACAGCATTAATCGTGGGAATCGGTTCCGGAATCGACTCTTCGCCCAGCTCTACCTGTCAGAATCGACTCTTCGCCCAGCTCTACCTGTCAAACATGAAACACCAGTAGACATGAGAACAACTTTTTACATGTAGATCAATTGAAAAATTGAACATGCTTTTAACAAGGGAAATAACCAACTTTTATTACGGTGATTACTCCCCTTTAGTCACATTGCGAGGCGTTAAATAATTTGTTTTGTGGAAAAAAAATATTTTAAAACGTGAAAGAACGCGGGGAATCCAAAATTATTCAAAAGTTGCAGAATTACGCGAAAAAACGCGGCCGCACAATCGCATAACAATAATCCAACGGGGACAGCCTAGCACTGATCCATTGATCTGATCTAACAGTACACTGATCCACTGTTGTGACCTAACACTGATCCACTGTTGTGACCTAACACTGATCCATTGATCTGATCTAACAGTACACTGATCCACTGACATGTGGTCTAACACTGATCCATTGATCTGATCTAACAGTACACTGATCCACTGACATGTGACCTAACACTGATCCACTGATCCACTGACATGTGGCCTGACACTGATCCACTGACATGTGGCCTAACACTGATCCATTGATCTACTGACATGTGACCTAACACTGATCCACTGACATGTGACCTAAGATTGATCCACTGACATGTGACCTAACACTGATCTACTGACATGTAACCTAACACTTATCCGGACCAGAGCCTTCCACTAACGGTCACGGCACAATTACGTCACAAATTGAGTTGGACAAGACAGAGGCACAGACTGTGTTCTCGCCCCACTGGCTCCAGCTAGGCAGACGACACTCAGTCAATCCATCAATCACTCAGTTACTCACTCCATCAATCACTCACTCAACCACTCAATCACTCACTCAATCCATCAATCACTCAATCAATCATTCACTCAATCATTCACTCAATCACTCAATCAATCACTCAATCCATCAATCACTCAGCC